TTACTAAATCGGTTTTGACTAAGGAAAAGGCCAAAGGTGAAATTAAAGGGGATTACGGGATCAAGATCCAATCATGAGGTTCGGGGGGCCCCCTCCCCGAACTCGTGGTTGATGATTGGCCCCCACCTGCGAACTCATGATTCTGTGCGTGGACCGCGCCTCACTGAAAAAAGCTCTCTCTCTCTCTCTCTCTCTCTCTCTCTCTCTACTTGCGATGTTGGACTGTAGAAAGATTGGAACAGATGCAAGCAAGGCATGCTTTGGTTGAAGCCCCACAAGATGCAATGGCATCATTTGTCATTCTGTATCCGATACACGCGCTGTGGTTCGATCTATCGTTCTAGGTCCCGTGGATAACATCTTTTTCCCCGCTCTCGCTCGGTCGTATCTGTGCGACGATCGTGTCACGGGATGCTTGTCGTGGCCCTCGATGATTGGCGACCGTTAAATACGGACCCCGATGACGGCTGCTGACTCTCTCCTCTAATAGTGGATCGAAAGCTCATCGTGATTGGAACTGAATTAGCAACCATCGTGTCAGCCCGACTGGGGATTGTTGATCCTAGGGCTGATGAAAACGCCTAGCACTAGCAGGCACTATCTCCTCCTCATCATCATCATCATCTTCATCATCATGCATGTCCTCGAAAGAGGACAAGATTGTTTGGTGTATAGGTGCCTCGCAAAGTCGTTCATTCGCTGTAAATATGGTAATGAAAGAAAGGTTTTCAATTGCGAGTAAAATGTAAAATTTAGTGCATTGAGTCAGTGGACCTGCGCCTATCTAAGGGTAGAAAAAAGCCGTGGAAATCATTACTTAGAGTTTGGTGGAGCCTTAGTGAACAACATGCCAAAAGAAACCCCTCCTCTTTTTTCTCGATAGACGAGAGATTTGAACAAAAACTTGATTATCCAAATTCTCGAAAGTATTAATGACGTATGAAAGTAGGTAATAAGAACTTAAGTTGAGATTGGGGAGTCGTTTTCTTATAAATAGCTCCATATATAAGATATTTCATTCATATGACGCATTACGTAATTATCTTATCGTACGAATATATCAACTCTCGCACTCCTTTTTATGATTGCACTAGATGTCGGATTGCATTATATTCTCATTTTCTCATTCGGGTCGTGTCATGTGCGTGCCAAAGACGTCTGGATCTGTCCCCGCATCGGATAATCTCGATCCTAATCAACTTTAATTCCCATGCACTTCAAGAAGCTATCTTGACTTTGACCATGATTCTGTCGGTGATCGCTGAGGTTTTGGACACTGTTAAGGGTCATGCTTCATGAGGGATTAAGCTAGCAGCGAGGCTAATCATAATCTGCTCTCTAACATGCTTTATTTACCCTATAAAAAACCTCCTTCCTTGTCATGATTAACCTCAGTGCTGATCATCCACCATAGAAGCAGCTCAAATAGCCAAAAAAACAAAGGAAAATGACTCAGTTAGTCTTCGAACTTTGGTCCAATGTGCAATGTGGTCCCTAAACTCTTAATTTATTCAATGTGGTCCCTAACTTTAACCCAATATGCAATGTGGTCTCTGAACTTTTAATTTGTTCAATGTCGTTCATAAGCTTTTGGTATACATTCAATTTAGTTCTTGAATTATATGAAAATATTTAATGTAGTCCTTTCACTAATTCAAATTCAATGAATTACATAGAACATGTTCATATAGTTAGGGACTACATTGAATATGTACCAAAACTTCATGGACCACATTGAATATTAGGTTAAAGTTCAAGGATTATATTGAACAAATTAAAAGTTTATGGACCACATTATATATTAGGTCAAAGTTCAGAAGTTATTTTTGTCATTATCCCAAAAATAATAGGAGAGAGAGAGAGAGGATATCAGAGCATGTCATTGGGTCAGTGAGTAAGATTTTGACAGATTCATGCACAAAAAGAGTGATTGATTTAATCCTTATCCCATGCTTAATTATGATTAATCACCTGTTCAGTGGTGGCAACAAGCTGCAACTTCTCGAGGCATGCCGAGGTTAAAAAGAGGTGGGGGGGAAAAAGTTGCCTAATGGAAGGGAGACACTGTTGTTGGATTCTCCTTGCTCGTCCCACATAATAATTGTACCACTTCATCATGTGGGAAGGCCAACTAACAAAAGGTCATGGTGAATGTGAAAGGACACATTCATACACGAAATCAGATGATAATGGCGATGTGATCATCTCGCCACAGTAACAACTCTCAAGGATAGAACAGTCGGCGAGTTGAGTTTACATTGCTTCGTGCCTGTAGAAACACGAGGTCTTACCTGGGTCCCATGCCCGGCATTATCTCTGAATATGAGCCAAAGTTTTGCTAGCTTTTCATTTATGGTAAAAGGGTGTGTCGATATTGCATTATTTACAATCTTCATAGCAATTTGTAGCCTTTCAACCTTACCCTTACTTATGACCAAAAACAAAAAAAAAACCTTTCCCTTACTTTTCTAGAAGGCACTCGATGTGCAACCTCGAATTGGGCCAGAGAAACTCCTAGCTAGGTCCATGGGCCTAGCCAACCGGCGTCCAACCTCGAGTTCATTTAGCATTGTTCAAACTAGGCCTCCTGAGCAATCCACCATTCGCGAGCCTACCCGACCCTATCGGCCAAAATTTCATGCCCAAACCCACCCAATAATCGATGTCCTATTGATCGATAAGTCGATACTTTCACATGATCCATTTTCTTGACATTTAGGGTGTATTTTCTTTACGAAGAACTTTATGCTGAAGGGAATGATTTTAGCCGAAATTAATTTTCAAGGAAACTGATTGATTTTTCCTTGAAAATGAGAAGGAAATGGTAGAGAGAGAGAGAGAGAGAGAGAGAGAGAGAGAGAGAGAGAGAGAGAGAGAGAGAGAGAGAGAGAGAGAGAGAGAGAGAGAGAGAGAGAGAGAGACGCTCGCTAGTTTTGCATTAGCAACACCTAGATGGTATCTCTTTGGGGAAACTGATTTCCTCTTTCACGGGAGGGGAATTCATTTTCCAAGGCCATAACATACCAATTTTGGTCAACGGAAAACCTATGGCTTTTAGCTTGGGCTTCAAACTTGAAATTGGGCTTTTAGACGTCTCCCTGAACCGAGCACTTGTTCGGCCCATGTCCAGTTGAGAGTCTGAGCCCAGCCCATGACCATTGACAAGTTCTTAAAAGAAAATCCAGACCTGGTCATGCAAAATCTCTCTTCACTATCGGTAGCCATCATACTCGTCGAAATTATTATTTCGGAAGTCATGGAAGTACTCCATTTCAATTTCCGAAAAAAGAAAAAACTGCGCTTTCAAAGGAACAAAAAGAAGTATCCGACACACTCGAATATGTACGTCTTCCAATTAAATGGGACGTGGACCTCGCGAAAAGATGGGGTCATATTCTCGAGATTCGCAGTAATTACCCCGGCCCTTACCTTATCTATAAAGAAGTTATAAAGCGGGTAAGATTGGCACTAGTCTACGAATTTGCCACCCCGAAATCGCCTATTGGTCAGGAGAACTCCAAACGCAGGAACGCCCTAATCTACATTGTCATATGCATACCAATCGACAGTGACCTTATCTATGGAGACATGCACATTCGAATTATTCAATTTGCATATATAAGAATAAGATAAGTACTTTGCACGATAGTTTTTTTTTTATATTATTATTGTTGCCCAATAATTATTTTAATACTTCATCTAGCTTATCCCAACATTGCAGAGATCAGGCTGGGGGTCACATTCGATCGGATTAATTAACACAATTATTGGGGTGGGGGGTGGCATGCATTTTGCCATTAGCTTGACAATATATGCGCATGGAACTGACAGGGACCTTTTGTTAGGGACTGTTTCAGAGTGGATAGACATTTGTTACACAATCAAGTAAGGAAGTAATCGATTTTTTTAAAAATTAAATAAAAATCAACTCAAACACGCGAAATATAAGACAAAACATGAACTTGGACTTTGCTTTATTCTGTTTTTTTTTTATTGTTAAAATGGATAGCCGGCCCCCCCTTGACTTTATCATAAGGATCTCACGCACGCCTGCGAAATGTCCGGTCCGAGTCCTGACTACTCCACGTCGGTCATGATCCAACATCCGAAGTTATTGAGCTGAATATTGTAACGTATAGTTGGCAATTAGAAAGTTTCTCGACACGAAAATATGCTACGGTTGGATAACACGACATGAGCCATTTAGAGGTTCGATTGCAACATGAACCAAACTTATGACCTCACCGAAGGCAGGTGACCCTTTTTATCACTAGACTAACCGTCTTGGTAGTGAATTCATTAAGTTCTTTCTTCCTTTGTAATTTCACAACTGATTAACTAATAGTCTAAATCCGAATTTTATAATTGAAAAAAAAATGTGTACATATATTAAAGTCCGAGTTCAACTTACCATATTTTACATATTCTTCGAGCAATCTAAGAATGGTAATTGTCGCGCTCTATTAATTGTATACGTGCGTGAAACAAGAGACGATCGATCCCAATAAGGATCAATTAGATATCCAAAAGATATCCAAAATTATTTTTTTTGGATAAGTGCATTGAAAGTCCTAAAACTTGTCACGAAAGTACAATCGAGTCCTAAAACTTTCAAAAATTACAATCGAGTCTTTGCCAAATTGGTCCAATCAAGTCCTTCAATTAATTGCACTTTTTAAAATTTTTGGGACTTGATTGTACTTTCATAATAAGTTTTATGACTCAATTGTAATTTTCGAAAGTTTTAGAATCGGCCGCACTTTCATGACAAGTTTTAAGACTTGATTGTATTTTTTGAAAACTTTATGACTTAATTACACCTTCGTGATAAATTTTAGGACTATATACTGCACTTATTCCTTTTTGTTTTCGTTAATAGAAGAAATAGCAAAAAAAAAAATAATGACGAATCACATAAGGACACACACTCCTTTGACTTGCCTCAAGAAGAAATCTCCAATTGGGAAGTTAGGAACTACCCGTCAACTTTCACGTTTTCCCGCACACAGATTGGCGAATTCGGACAAGGCCCACACGACAAGAACCGTTGATTTCGTCACCATAAAACCGGCCAAAGAATTTCTGCTTCCTTCTTCTCCTTCTTCTTCCTTCCTTAATCTTCACTCCATCCCTCTTTCGACTGCCAAAACCGCACGCAACCGACGGGGAAAAAGGACCGCCCACAACCCCCTCAAACCTTTTTTGCTCTTTCTCGCATGTCGGAGAGGCGGGCCCACCGGCGACAGGCCGCGGTCTCCGGCGGCGGCAGGAGTAGCAGGCCGCCGCAGCCGTCGCCACCCGCTGCCCGGCGGTCTTCGTTCAAGCACCTGAGGCCGGCGAAGAGGCTCGAGAGGTGCTCCTCCGAGCCCTCGCTATGGAACAGTGCGGAAGATCTGGTCGGGGACGGCCCGGGCGATCTGAGGCAGAGCGTGAGCTCGAACGACGGGGCTCTGTTCAGCCCCCTGAGCTGCACGGACGTGCTTGCCTCGTCTCCTTCTTTGATGGGTAGTTCTTCTCCCGGCGGATTGGAGGTAAAAGTTGCGAACTTTTCCGTGCTGTTCTTGATTTGGAACTGTCGTGTTCGGATTTTCAGAGATGGCTTTTGATGGGTTATTGGGTTGTTTCGTTTGATCTATTTGCTCTGACTTGTCTAGCTAATGGGGTTTGAATCTTTGGCTGCTCAAGTTTAATCTGTATAATGATCGGTCAAGTTCTGTTTTAGCTATCGAAGGGAATTAGTTGATTCCTTCGAGCAAAAGCAGGTGCTGGAAGAAACGAACCCATCCTTATCCCCTGATACTAGATGACATGCGCCTAGACATAGCAGCAAAACCAAACGTTTCGGTTCGCATGAACTAGGGATTGACCTATTTCTGGAATTTCTAGATGAGCTATCAAACCACATATATAGACATTGCTGTGTGTGATTCACTTGTTGCACAGAGTGACTCAAGTAGATTGATTGCAGGTAAATGCGTAAGATCAATTGTCGGCCTTAAGATCAAAAACTTGCGTAGCTTTAATTGATTACTGAGAGACAAGTCTAGAAGCTGTGGAGGGGGATCTTTGGTTTCAGCTTTTCCAGTTTTTCTTAGTTATGGATCTGAAGTTGCTCTTTCTGTGTGTGCAAAATAAAATCTAAATCTTTTTGGAACTTTTGGATGTGTGTAGGGATACAATAAGGAAGCCAAGGTGGTGGTAAATGTAACCGTGGAGGGGAGTGTAGGGCCTATCAGGATGATGGTCAAATTGGGTTCCAGTGTGGAGGACACAATCAAACTCGTTATGAACAAGTATAAGGAAGAAAGGCGAATGCCCAAGATTGATCGGGATCGCTCGACCGGCTTCGAGCTGCACCATTCCTATTTCAGCCTTCAGAGTAAGTCCAGAATCTCGTTGTTCAGTACTCCTTATGGTGGCGTGTAGGAATTTTGGGAATCTGGTACATCTATGATTCTGCTGGCACTAGTTGTGCAATTTGTGATGTTCTTGGATATTCCGTGATGGTATGCTTGATTCATGATGAGAGCCAAGCCAACTAAATCAACGTGCAGTCGTGTTATGACTTTTTGGGGAGTATTGAACAGTCGGAATCTCAAATTAAGCACATAGCAAACCAGTTGCTTTCAAAAGGAAACATAGAGAACACACTTTCTTAGTTACTGCCTCTCTGGTTCTGCAGAATCTTTGAACGTTCTATAACTTCCCTGTGGTTCTGTGAAAAACCGTAGATATATCATGAAAAAGTTGGACCATAATTGGTAAATCCACAGCGTGACACTGTGATGAACATCTTCCATTAGTCAGGGTCTCTGCTCTACAGAAAGAACATATGGAATCTAATTTGGAATGTCGTGTGCTGTATAGGTCTGGATAAATCAAAGCTTCTCGGCGATGTGGGTAGCCGAAGCTTTTATCTGCGAAGAACCACTACTGGTCTCGATAACAGCGGATTCTCGGCTTCTTTTGTATCCGATAAAGCAGCAACAGTGAGGACCAGCTCTCCACCGAGTCCGCCTCTTTTCTTCTTGTTTACAACTTTCATAGCTCGAAAGCTCGCGAAAATCATGAGAAGGGCTCATAAGCTCTGGAGAATCATTATCTGCTCGCAACAAGACTAACCCGACATCCTTCCAGTGTTGGAGCGGCATAATTTTTTTGTCATGCTACTCTAACTGCAATTGCTGTTCGATGTTACCTTTCATAATTCGGCATACATACGACCAGCTCCTCTGATGGGGTCCTCCGGTTCAACTTGTGAATGATGCCATTTGATTCGACCATTGATTCAGCGTACTGGCTATGTGCATAAGAAGTGCGTCTATTCATTGCATTGTATAGCTAAAGCGTGTGAGAGTTCACCCTACTGCTATGATGGTGGACAGCATTGGAATGGTCGGTCGGGTTTGGCAAAGGACAAGTTAGATGAACTTCAATGTATTGTATTAATATCTATGATGTGTTTTCACACGAGAAGTGAAAAGAATAGTAAAAAAGGAGGAACTTTATATTGTGCTCAGGTTTCTCCTTTCTTTTTCAGTCTAATTCCAAAAAAAAAAACACCTAAAATACCAATTTTAGGTCGAGTGACAATTCTGGCCTTAATTTTTTTTGTCTCATAAAAAAGCACAAACTTTAGGTCGAGTAACAATTCAGTAATTTGAAGGTAAAATTTAATAGAAACTAACGGAGGGTAAATTTATCATGGGTGTACCGGTTTAGGGTTTTTGATGGTCAAAAAATTAGTTTGGGGTAAAATTGTCACATGTGTATCAATTTGAGGTTTTTTGTGATATTGACCCTATTAATAAATCCTTAATTTTGTCATTCTAAAAGTTAAAATGCATAATAAAGTGAGCAATGTAGTGCCCCCACAATTTCAATCCTTGTTAAGGTCCTAACATATAGACTCTCCAATAGGTCGGTTTGTATCTCTTTTTATGCAAAATATCAATTGTTGTTCAACAAGATCAAACGAATCTTTTCGGTTCGTGAATTAGTATATCACATAACAATATACTTGAAACGAGTAAAACCGATTTAACAAAATGGATTTATAAAGGGATGGAATACATTAGAAAAATCGACTAATATTCGAGCATTAATTTAAGGGAAAATGATACAAATAGGCTTTTTGAACTTTGACCCAATATGCAATGCAGATTCAATGAATCCGTTAATTTGTTCAATGCGGTCGTTGAACTTTAACTTAATGTACAATGTGCTTCCTGAATTTTTAATTTGTTCAATATGATCCCTAAATTTTTGTAAATGTTCAATTTAGTCCAAGAATTATTACATTCCCTGATTCAATCCAAACTTCTTGATTATCTAGGCCTGTCAGCGACTATATCAATATTTACCAAAAGTCAGGTGACCATAATCGAACAAATTAAAAGTTGAGAGATTAAATTATATATTAAGATAAAGCTCATGGACCATTTGAGTAATTATTCCTTAATTTAAACTCTATTTGAACTTGATGGTTAAAATCACGAAACTGATAGTTTGTACTATTATTCCTACGACAAAGCGGCATCACGAGGGGCAGTTTGAACGTCCCGCCAACCTTCCACGAAGCTTCGCGCTGTCTCTCTATCCCTCCATTAACGTCCAAAAACAAATCTCGCTCGCTGATCTTTTCTCTATCTCCGTCGCCATCTCTCTCTCTATCTCTCTCTCTCTCTACAACATAGTTATCATGAATCACCGCTCACCCCACCCGACCACCCACCGCCGCCCCGCCGCCCACGCTCCCCCGGCCCGGGTGCCCTCGGACTGGTCCCTGCAGACCTTCCCGCCGGAGGGCCACGCCGACCTGGTCCGCCGCCGGGGCGGCCTCATCTCCGTCCCCTGGAGGCTCGCGCTGCCGCCCTGGCTTCCGTCCGCGGCCCCCGAGGCGGCAGCGGGGGGACCGGCGAGGCTGCTGCTGAACGTGACGGTGGAGCGGAGCCTGGGGCCGGTGCAGGTGGTGATGGCGGCGGAGAATAGCGTGGGCGACCTGGTGAGGGCGAGCGTGGAGGCGTACGGGAAGGAGAAGAGGCGGCCATTGCTGAGAGCGAGCGACCCTCGCTGCTTCGAGCTTCACTACTCGCCCTTCAGCTTGGAGTGTGAGTTCTCACCTCACCAGCTTTTTTCATTCTTAAAATCCACGAAAATTTTCTATGTTAATATTATTATGCTGACCTGGAATTTCCTCGAACCCAAAAAAAAAAATGTGGACCTAGCCTCTATGAGGTGAGAAGATTGGACCGCCCAAATCGAAAAAGACCTGGACCGAACAGATCGGTTTGATCCAATTCTCGAATATTTGGCCCGGTTCCCGATTCCTAAAAATGAAACCTGGTTTTAAGCGGTGCGTTCCCGATTCTAGGATGAGGGCCGAACCGGACCGATAAATATATATTTCTAATTTTTCATATATATATATATTTATTTATTTACTTTTTAAAATTTTTGAAAAAAATAGAAAGCCTAATCTAATTTTTCCAATTTCCTCTTGCCTTTATCAATAAGTGATTGGTCCCGTTAAAATCGGTTCACGGTCTCAAGACTAGCCGGTCCCCTATCCTATAAACTAAAAACCGATCCTCCCGGTCCGATTTTGGATTCCTGGATTAGACCGGATCAGACCGAAAACTGCTCACCCCTAATCCTTCCCTTAACAACCCTCCCTCCAGGTAATTAGGGTCGAGCAATTCTAGGACGAGTATATTTCAAACATGGAACATAGAACCTATCCCATCAACATCAATTCTTAGCTTTTAGAATCTGCAACCTGTTATGTAGACCATAGAACCGACCTTGTCACTAATCCTTTTTTTTTGTTTCATTTTTTTTTATTTCTTGAAATGACAACTTTAGTAAAACATCCCATTATTTATAAGAATCAGAAGTGGAAACAACGAGAATACAAGATGAAAGGTAAAACTAAAAAGAGGGAATTTGGGTTTCTTGGTCCGATTTTGCACCTAAAATTGGGTCGAGCAATGGGCAGGTGCTCCAAAATTTGGGAATCGAAACCTGGACCGGGAACCGGTTGAGTAGAATCGGTCCAAACCGCTACAGGATCTACCTAGAATCTATGTTCACCCCTACAGTCAACAAAATCAAATCAAATTATCAAAATCCGATAAGCAAAAACCAATG